CTATAGCCCCACTATCTTCCCCCTGTAGTTGGGGATGTGGCCCCTGTTGCGGGGGCTGTGGCCCCTGTTGGGGGCAGCCCACCCTGTGCCCCCACATCCCTCCACAGCCACTCACATCCCACCACCCCCCTTCCCACTCGCCTCCTGCAAACCCCACATCCCCCCAGCACACACCCTGCATGCCCAGCTGCCAGACAGGATGAGACCTGCTGGCAGGAGCTGTGGCAGCAGGGGCAGCTGTCCCCACAACCTGGTTAGTGAAGGGGTCTGGAGGAACTCTAATTTTTTATGACAAGAAAGCCAAAAACGAACATCAAAGCATATAGATATTTAGAATGTATTTTATTATGATGGTAGAGACACTGGTAGGCTTCCAAATTGCTTTAAAATTGTAAATATATCAATAAAACATTGCCCAACTGATCTCTCTCGGGGCAGAAATCCGGGTGGCTGGGGGAGCAAGCAGGGGTTGTCCATGTGGGCCCTGCAGGGGTGGCCGTGGCCCCTGTTGGGGGGCTGTGGCCTCTGTTGGGCAGCCATAGCCCCTGTGGGAACACGAGAATTCCTGCTAGGGAGGCCTATGGAAGGACACTGCTTGCTCAGAGCTAGCATCTTGGACCCAGATGAAGGTGGCTGACCTCCTGGCCAGCTGGGGCCAGGAGGACATGCTTTGACAGATCAAAGCAGGCCACCATACCAGGAACATCTTCCAGCCAATAGCTGCCCAGATGGCTGGGCAAGGGGCACACATGGCAGTAGTGCCACACAAAGGCCAACCCTGCAGCTACAGCTGGCCCAGAGGGGCATGACTCTACTGGCCATGCAGTCCCTATCCAGGTCTGGCAGGTGTGCAGCAGGTCACAGCCAGGCAGCAGCCCCCACTGCTAGACTGCTGCAGTAGGTAGAGGGGGCAGGGAACTCTTGGGGCTGCTTCATCAGTCCAGCTGGCACAAGGGGTAGTGCCCCCAGGTACCAATTGGCTGGGCACCAGAAGCCCCTGAGAGTGAGTAACCCATAGCTACTTGCCAGGGCAGCTTTTTGTACTGATGGGGCCAGGACAGGGCAACTTTTTATACTGCTGGGGACAGCACAGGTGCTGGCCCTGGGCTCTAGCTCCCCCTGGCTGCAGATCCACTACTATTGAAATGAACAACCTTGGGCACCATGAGATGCTATGCTTTGGGGTAATCAATTCCCTGCATAACCCCTTGATGCTGGCATTTCTCTGGCTCATCTGCCACAACTCCCTAGTCAGATGGAAAGAGTACGAGGTTTCCTTTGATTTCAGGTACTGTTGGCAACACTACTGGAAACGCAGGACAGCTGCCCACCAGACAATTCAAGCAGAGGTCCCAACCACTGTGGTTGTACAGGGAGCACAGCCCCCAGAGGCAAGATTCTGGTATTTTTGAATCAGGCTGGAATACACTGATGTATTTGAGAAGAAGAATGTTGAGGTCCTCCCCACACATTGGGATTACATCTGCCCTATTGACCTACACTTGGGAGCAAAGATCCCTATAGAACACATCAATGCCATGTCAGGAACTGAACTTGCCACCCTCTGTGAATATCTTCAGGAAAAACTAGCCTGGGGATTCATAAGGATGTCCAACTTACCTGCTTCCCCTCCCATATTCATGAACCACAAGAACCTAAAGTATTTCCAGAATGCTAAGGCACTCAATCAGAGACAACTTTGAGCAGTCTTTTTCTCCCAGTTTGACTTCCAGGTAACTTACCAGCCCAGGCCTAGAAATGGGAAGGCAGACACCCTCTTGCGGAAGACTGAGTATGATACAGACTTATCACAAAAGCCATACAAACCTAACCTGATTTTGAAGCCTCAAAACTTCATCAGTACCACACTGCCGACAGACTTGCTCTCCATGCTCTGTGTCACTACCTGAGAAGATTAAAATACCCCCAGAAGAACAGACCATCTTTATGCAACAAACACACTGAGGTCCAGGATGGGGTCATATTTATCTGAGGTAGAAGCTATATGTACCCAAGTCTGGTTAGACTGCCTATCCTTCACCTAAATTATGACCTCCCTGCCCTGCTCCACCCCCATCCCCGCAACAGGCCCCCTGGAACCAAAAAGACCCAGTGCCTCATCTCTTGCTACTTTTGATGGCTGCAACAGTGCAAGACTGTGTAGATCAGGGGTGTCCAACCTTTTTGAATGTGGGGCTGGATCACAAACTTTTTATCACCCAGTGGGCTGGCGAGCCATATTCAAGGACCTCACAGGAAGTGGTATCACATCAGGAAGTGATGTCATGTGACATTTGACACCAATGAAGTTGCAGGAAGTGACAATGAGATGGGTCTGGAAATGTGGTTTAAAATCCAAAATAAAAACAATATAAAAGCAAGAATGAAATAATACCAAACAC